GTTTAAAAAGACGTTTAAAAGACGCATAATAAATAGTCTAAAAGACGCATTAAAAGACGTCTAGATCAAGGCTTAAAGACGTCTTTTCTGTGACCTGTTTATAAATATGTCATTATGACTTCTTTTTGACGGCTTTGTCATTACGCGTTAAGTAGATGTCGTATATTCAAAGTAAAAACATATTTTTTATTATTTTCAATAATTTGTTCAAATTTTAAGTGTAAATTACTTTAAATTAAATTACTTTTTTACACAATTGCAAAAATTGTTGTCACAGGAATCACTAAAATAATTGCTATAATATTAATATATCTTTTTTTTATTAATAATTATTTTGCTTTTTTAATAGATAGTTGATTGATCATGATAATAAGTGAAAATGGCAAGAATAATATATAAAATAAATATCAGTATTTTTAGTTTTTATATACCCACAAGCCATATAATAAGTCAAGTATGCGGTCAAAATTTAGCTAGCGATACGTATGTTAAATTTTATAAAAACTAAAGGTAAGTTATAAATGATTAAATACTGTTTTGATATTTAATTGTTTTTGTTATTTATTATTTTCATCTTTGCAGCATCAACCGTTGGTGGTGATAGCTATGTATATTATTTAGATTGCTGGTTCCTATGTATATTTTGTATATACAAAATTATAACAATATATGACGTATAAACACAATGAATATATACCACATACTACGCGAAAATGTTACGTCATGTACTTAAATTTATCTTAAAATAAACGTCTAAAATACGTCTAAAACGCGTTTTTATAAAGACGTCTTTATTTGGACGTTTTTTAGCCTTCCGATCTAGACGTCTACAAGTGCGCTTTTTAGACCTCCTAAAAGACATCTTTAAAACGTCTTTTAAACGTCTTTGTGCTTACTGGGTATATATATATATATATATATATATATATATATATATATATATATATATATATATATATATATATATATATATATACAGTTAATTCCCGGTTAACTCAAACTTTTGTTATCTCGAGCTGTTTCATTTGGTCCCTTGAAATTGTCTAACTGATTCCTATTAAAATTATCTGGTTAAGTCGAACATCGAATAACTCGAACTTCGTTAAGTCGAACCATTTTTTGTCCCCCTTCGGCAAATTTCTTCGGATAACTCGAACTTTTTGTATGGGAAATAATGAAATCAATAGGACTTGATTAAATTTTTTTTAGAAGTCATTCCATATAAAACATAAAATACTTTAACCAAGACATTGTATTGCAATTTTTCAAAAAAAACTCAAAGTTTGTAACTTGGCGACAATTGCAACTAAGCGAAAGTTGAATACAAAAACTGTTTAAGTCAAATACAATGCACTGAAGGAAGTATTAGATGGCATCTCAAAGTCAAAGGTCGCTTTAAAATATAATATACTAAAGAACACCTTATCTACTTGGTTGAGAAACAAGGAAAAGATTTTTGATGCTGTGGAGAAAGGAAACAACCCAAAACGTCAGCGTATGAGGAAAGGGTCATTTGCAAACTTGAATCAAGCCATTTTCAAATGGCTTCTGATTGTTCGTAGCAGAGATGTCACTGTATCTGCTTTAATTCTCAAAACTAAAGCCATGGAATTTGCTGAAAGAATGAACGTAACAAATTTTCATGCTTCAGATGGTTGGTTAGACCGTTGGAAGAAACAATACAACATATCATTTTAAACGGTTTCTGGCGAAGCTAATGCGTGTACAAGTGAAATGATAGCACCATGGGAGTAAACCATGTTACCAACCATTTTATCAAAATATAAGTTGAACCTGATTTATAATGCTGACGAATTTGGGTTGTTTTATCGGCTCCAACCAAATAAATCTTTACATTTTAAAAATGAAAAATGTGTCAGTAGAAAACACACAGAAAATACGTCGTACAGGATTGGCATCTGCTAATGCATTAGGGAAAAAATTGTCAATGTTTGTTATTGGCAAAGCTAAATCACCCAGATTCTTTAAAAATGTAAAGCATTTACCCTGCCGTTATCGCAGTCAGAAGAAAAGTTGGATGGATGGCACACTATTCGAGGAACGGGTTAGTGAAACTGATCGGCAACTTACAAAGGAAAGACTAAAAATTGTTTTATTAGTTGATAATTGTCCAGCTCATCCAATCATTGATAATCTCGAATCAATAGAACTAATTTTTTTACCATCAAACACTACCTCGAAGCTACAGCCGATGGATCAGGGCGTGAATAGGTCACTTAATGCCCATTATAGAACACTATCTGTTCAAAAATTAATAAATGCAAAAGAAAAAAAAAAGCCTCTTCCGGAAATTACTATAATGGATGCCATGCAAATGCTTGATGTTGCTTGGGGGAAGGTGAAGACCGAAACTATTTGCAATTGTTTTGCTTTGGCAGGAATTTCAGAGAAAATGTGTTTTGACGCCTCTGTAGATGTGGATGATCCCTTTGAGGATCTCAAAGACCAATTAGAAAAGCTTGCTGTTCATTCATCCTAGTTCTTCCCTGAAGGAACAACAGTAAAAGATGTCGTTTCCATGGATGATTTTGTCAACACTGTCGAGCCAATAATGATGAGGAGATTATATCAGACCTTTTAGGAGAAGAAAATTTTGAGGCTGAAAAAGATGAAGATAGTGATCTAGATTTTTTGATCGAACCAACTTGCCCTCAATCGAGTGATGTACGTCAAGCCCTGGAAGTACTACGAAGCTACATAATACTCAGTGAAAATGGGGAGTGTATTCACAAATGTATAAACCAAATAAACTTAATTGTGGAAAAAGAATTATCAGAGAAGCTAATACAAGCGAATGTACGTAGCTTTTTTTACTGAACGTTTTTTACCCTTTTTATTACTAAAATAGTGTAATTTTAATGTTTATACTTTAGTATTGAATAAATAAAAATCGCCTTTACTCGAACTAATATCTCATTTCTGTCAAAGTTCGACTTATCGGGACTTCGCTTAAGTTGAACATTCGTTAAGTCAAACCATTTTACTTGGTACCTTGGAGGTTCGAGTTGTCGGGATTTAACTGTATATAACAATAAAAATAATAACAATAATATATATATTCTGAAATAAAAGTTTGCATTTCATGGTTGTTTACTAATAGCACAAGTACTAATCTAAGGTAAGCACCAATTAAATAATAATAGCAATCATATAATAATAATAATGTAAATTAAATGAAGACGATTATAATAATATCAATAATACTATTAAACATAATAATGACAATAATAATGACTATATTAGTAATTATAATAATAACAACAACAATAATAACAATAATAACAATAGCAATAATAGTAATAATAGCAAAAATAACAATAATAATAATATTAACAAATATCACATTTATATATTAAACAATTTTAATAAGTAATAATGATGGTAATAAAAATGTAAATTAAATATAAGTAATATTAACATCACATATGATAATAAAACTAATAGCATTAGTAATAACAGTCTATTATAAACCTAAGATTTTAATTAGAGTATTTTTCTATCAAAATGTCAAAAAAGCGGGTTTTAAATTGTGAAAAAGAGTTGAGGGATTGAAAATGAAAAGGTAAATTATTCCAAGATTTTACGCATTGGTTTGTAATAAAATTATCACCGTATTTTACCGAACAGCGATTTGGGATAGATACTCAAAGATCGAAGATAATAACGAGAACTTTTTTTAGTGGTAAAAAAATTGGAGAATGACGTATATATATATATATATATATATATATATATATATATATATATATATATATTATATTTGTATATATATATATAAATATATATATATATATATATTTATATAAATATATTTATATTTGTATTATATATATATATATATATATATATATATATATATATACATATATATATATATTTGTATATATATATATATATATATATATATATATATATATATATATATATATATATATATATATATATATATATATATATATATATATATATATATATATATATATATATATATATGTAGATATATATAATTAGTAATTGCTAAAATGCTTATATTATCTGCAGTTGCAAAAAGAAAAAGAAGGTAGATGCAGTTGCAAAAAAAATGATTATATACTTGTAATAAAAAAAAAGATGAAAAAAAAGAGATTTTTACAAATATTATATTGAGAGAGTAATATTATTAATGAACTTTGATATGGTGGGTTGTGATATTAATATTCTTTTAAAAGTTTATCAATTTTTTTTATTAGAGCTTTACTTAGTTTAAAAGAAACATTTAAAATCTTAATGAGATCCATAAATAAGAATAAACGTTTAGATTCTTTTTTATATCGATCAAGAGTGGATTTCTTTTTATTTGTAAGATCTGAAAATAAATTCCGTAAATACGGCCCACGATACATAATTGAGTATGAACTCAATTTTAAACTATATCTTAGGGCAGCAAAGTTGTTGACTAATAATCTTGAGCTATAGTTATGGCAGATTTCACTAGAATAGGATTCAAATATTTTTGGCGACATTCTTAACTTAGTTCTATACATAGTAACTAAAATTTCATGTAAATTTATTTTATAAACATTTAAAGCTCCAAGTAAACACAATAAAGACTCATAGGGCACTGCTCTACTTGTTCCAAATATAGTTTGATATGCATGTGTTTGTTTACTATAAAGTAAACAATATACATCCATGCTTTGTACAGCAGAATATACAATTTGTTTTTATTTATTTTATTTGTTTACAAAAATCATACAAATTATTATATAACATGCAATAAGGATTTTTAAATAATAATTAAACAGAGCATGCTATTATTCAGCTTACAAGAAGTATATTAGGCCCATTTAGCAATTGTAAATTCACATTTAGAATATTTATTGATTGAGCGAAAGCGTTTGATACAATTGATCATAAAATTTTTGCTTAAAAATTAAAATATTATGGTATAACATGCAATGTTTTAAAATGGTTTAAAAGTTATTTAATTAATCGTAAATAATTTGTTTATGTCAATGAAACATTTTCATCAAATTTGTTAAATATTACATGTGGAGTTCCTCAAATAGGGTCAGGCTAGAAAATAGGGATCGGGGAAAAATATAGATGCAGGGCCGCCTTATATATAAAAATTTCCCTATATTACATATCAAGAACTTTTTTTTTAGGTACCTCTTTTAAGGGCCCAGAGATTGAAAGAGGCTCAAACATTGCAGGGGCCCGGGAAAAACCCCCAGTACCCCTCGCCAATTATGTTTGCTGATGACACTAATTTATGTCTTACAAAAGCATTCCAACTCTATATCATTACGTGAACATCGAGTTAATTAAAATATCTGACTGGTTTAAGACTAATAAACTATCCTTAACATTGATATTAATTGAATGGATTCTTTTCTATCCTCTTACCAAAAAACATAAATTGCCAAAAAATTATCTTATTTTGTTGTCGAAAACATACAAATTAAATAAGTAACTGTAACCAATTTTCTAGGTGTTTGTATAGATGAAAATCTTACATGGAAAAATCAAATTAAAAACATATCAAGTAAAATTTCAAAAGTATAGGAATATTGTACAAAGCAAAAAATGTTCTAAATAAACATACTTTAGTTCAAGTATATCACTCATTTATTCATTGTCACATAAACTTTGCAATTATTGCTTGGAATAGCTCAAATAAAAATAAACTTAAACCACTTTATTGTCAGCAGAAGCATGTCATGTAGCACGTCTTATATATTTTAAAAGCCTGTTATACTTATGCCAAGCTTCTATTACTTAAAATGAAAGTTTTCAATATATATGTTAGCCTAATATTTTTAATATTCTTTTAAATGTAAAACCAATTCATCCTTGATTTCGTTCCATAATTTATTTTCCTCAAAAGATAATAATAAATGTATTTTATGCAATTATAATTTTATTAGGCATCCCATTTTTTAAACAAATCTTTTTAAAATTTGCATTAGTTTTCGCGGACTATTTTTATGGAATAAAATAGTTTTTAAAAATTTTACTGAGGATTTTATTGATCAAAATAACGACTTTTCTTTTAAACAAAAGCTTAAAGAATTCATTTTCACAATCGAAGATTTTACAATTTACTTTTGATATTTTTTAGTGATCTTTCTTTTTACCCTCTATTTAAACATGAGTTTATAAAAATTATACACGTAGTATTAACAACTGTAATAGTCTTATATTTGTAACGGAATATTTTAAGTTTCTTAGTTGGTTAACTTATTTTTAGCTTGATAACTTTTTATAAATTTCTACACAAACATTTCTTAGCGGTACTTGATGATAAAACCGTATGGTCTTCCACTAGTCCCCGCGTTCTTTTATTATTTAACAACGATCACTATATATATATATATATATATATATATATATATATATATATATATATATATATATATATATATATATATATATATATATAATATATATATATATATATATATATATATATATATGTATGTATAAATTATTCTCTATAAGTTATTCCTATATTTCTAAAAAGTTTTTTTCAAGACTGTTTATATGAAAATTCAATCAAATATTTTTGTCCGATTCAACGCCTAAAATATTTACCGATAATTCTCTTTTAATTATAGCTTTATTTATAAAAAGAGGTTTGGTAATTTAAATGGTACGTTATCAGTTTTAATCAATTGTTGAAACAAAATTAATTTATTTTTTTCAGCATTCAAGGAAGTTCGTTACTTACAAACCACTCATAATTTATATACCAAATTATTCATTCACATGTTTAAAAAGTAGGGTAACCTTAGGCAAAGCGAGACACTTTCAGGGAGAATGTTCATAACTTGAGAAGTATCACGTTTCACAACAAGAAATATAGCAGGCCACTTGGAAATTATGTGTTTAACGATCTCTTAAATAGTTTTGGTAATAGGTTGTTGCATTGGTACATAATTAAACTCAAAATGGCAACAACTACCCTGTCTCACTTTCTCCAAAACCTCGGGCAAATTTTATTTAAAGTAAAAATAAAATTTTCAATAAAAATTAAAGCAGACTTTGATAACTTCGATCTGATTAAATATAAGAACGCAAATAAAAACACAAAGGTATCATTTTATAATGCAATTTTTCCTTTTAACTAAAAAAACATGATAGGAAAAAGTATCTATCAAAAATATAAAATAACAAAAAATCAAAATCAAAATTAATATCAATAAAAAAAATGCATATGCAAAGTTTGATGTTAATCAACAAATTTGAATAAAATCTTTACGCTTAAAATGCAAACATCGTTTAATGTATAGTCTTTGTGTTCCCAAACATTACATACGCAATAATATCAAAATCCAGTCGATTTTGATATTATTGCACCATTTCCCTTGATAAACTGGACAAAACCATTCCTCTCCATTGCGTCTTTTTTTCATCTTTTTCAATTAATCAATTCATTACTTCTCTTTTCTTTTTTTTTCTTTTTTATATTACTCTAATTTAATATACTGTCATTAT